CAGATGGAGGTGGGAGAAGAAGGACTCCGCCGCCCCCTCTAATTAAACTTGGAGATACATGCTTGCATATGTTGAAATCTTATTATAGATAGATAAAATAGATAGCTGTGAATTCTATGACAGCAAATTCGAAGTGAAGAGGCAAGTATCATTTAATAAAATAAACCAAAACAATCGCATGGGGGAGAAATAGTGAGCGTTGTCCTAGCAATGATGGTGTACGCAAACGTGCGTATCTGCATATCCTGCCGCCTAACAAATGTTGTGCCTAAGCACGTCGCAGCGACTGAAGTTTATAGATACGTAGCAAGCAGACACCCAGATGAGGCGCTATAGCGCTCTGCGGCTGCTTGTGTTCCGGTAGCTGTAATCGGGCTTCTGCAGCAGATACGCAGACGGTAGGCAACGCATTCACTCAAATCCGCGCATCCCGTCATGGCCGCACACTTGCTGCTATGCGCGTCTAAGAGCTCGCCGGATGGGTGACCGTCCGTGCGCGTTGCTAAGCGGTTACCTGCCTTCCCAACCTATTGTCTCCCGCTGCGCCCACAGCTGGGCAGGATAGAGAGGCGCAGCTCCGCACCGCGTTAGACGGCCTCGAGACAGAGCGGCCACTCTGGCTGTTACGTTTTGCGCGCCGACCCGAATGATTGCGACGAGGTCGAGACTGGCGCTAGGCATGAAGCATCGCCGTCGCCTAAGCGATGCGCATCCGGCGGAGAACGTGGTGTTAGAAACGGTGCCGCGCTGACGGGAAACGCTCCCGTCGGACGCCGCCCTCTGGCTCCGCGCTTCGTCCCGCGCCGGTCGTCCACGTAGGTGGACAAGCACGGTTGCGGCGTGCTCGCGCCTTGTCGCTTCTGGCGAGCGAAGTGGCTAAACTGGCGGCGGTTTCACCGAGCCTATCAGCCCGGCCTTCTAACTGTGCGTCGCGCGCGGTTGCATGAGAAACTTGTATATATTCGGCTTGTGGGGCAGCCGTTCGCTCCACTACTATGCGCTGTAGACAGTTTTGTTCGGTTGTTCCTGTGTTCTTTGTATCGTTTAACTGCGCAGCGCGACAACCTCGGCTTACTTTATACCGTAAATGGGTTAAGTCTAACCATTCGTGTTGCTAGCGACAGACCGTTGGAAGGGGGGGGGTCAACGAGGAATATTGCAATGAAGATATAGTCCAGAATGGTTTGGTGCTTTGAACTCTGGTATGAAGTACTGATTGGTAAGTTTTTCATACGTACTCCGTATGAAAACTAACAAACCGTTTTTCCTTCCTATACATTTTACAAGGATGAACGATTTCTTAAACTGGCTTGGTTTTTTGATGATTACAGCTGAAAATTGCATGGGAAAATGGGATACTACGTATCAATATGTGGAATAGGTAGCGAATCAACAAGAGACGCGTTATGATTATAAATGCGTCGATTCATGCTTATGTAGAGGCGATTTTAAACAACAAGAGACTGTTGTGTGGCAAGTTTCAAGGCTGTCTTCTTGGAGTTTGTAGCTCCATCTTCTGTGCATGACAGTTAATAGAAATTTATGCCAGCTTCTCCAGAATGTATTAAAACATTCCACGGTAATTAATAACTAATTTAAAAACTTAATTATTTTGAAACGTGTAACTTATGATGTGCATTAAAGTTAGGTGCTTCCTGTTGCATTTTCTCTCTTCTAGTTAGAATTTTTTGGTTGTTTCTGTAATAACATGCATTTTGATACATTTTGTAATAAGAAGACGTAGTTTTGTGTTCTCAGGTTGCTCATATGCTGTAGCCCACAATGTAGACTGATTTACGCCAATACTTTGCTGCCTGCAGTGCAATACATCATGTTAGACTTTATACAAGGACATGATTTTATATGCCATTCACTCTGTTGTCGTGCTATGGCACAAAGATGCTTAGTTCACGGCGAGAACCGGAGCGAAGTCTGATGAAGAACTTTCGCATTGGCGCTTGTATATTTCATGTGGAGCATCATTCGACTATATATACGCGATTTGCAGTAATTACGTTACTGATGATTAGATAGTAGTGGCATTGATCACCAGGTGGCAGCTTTTCTGTGTTGGAGCTCAAACGCTGGTTTTAAAATAAATTACTTTGGCTGCCCGACATATTTTCTCAAGTTTGGTGTTTTTTTCGTTTTCAGCGATGTAAGCATGGAGAACATTTTGATATAAGAGACAACTGCTCACTTGAATAAACTACTAACACGGGAGTTTATTTAGGCGAATTGATGATAGTAGACATGATAATGTGATCATATAAAGTGCTATGACGCATACATATATGTATACATACATAAGCTACACGTAAAAGATGTGCTACCGTATAGGTTGTTGTGCTGGCAATACATAAAACTGCATTTTACACATAGTGAGCATAAACAGTAACTGAATGATAATAAAATGTACGTTGCAAATGTCCGCTACGTTTTCTCGCAGTTGCATATGTGAATCATTTTTGTAATCCGAGTTTGCCACGAAGCTCCAGCACAACACAAACCAATCATTCTACACAACGTCGCTCTACGGTTACACATGGCGCTCATCAGCTTGCAAGTGGTTTCCTCGGTCTGTGCAACTTCTTGCTTTTTCTCTAACGGCGGTTACCGATCTTAGTGATGGTTTCCTGTTACTAGATATGACATGGTCGCATGAACGCCGTTACAGCTGTCGTCCGCAATGTCGATGCGTCGGGTGCTGGATCACTCTGCAGAACTGAAATGTAGAAATGATTCATATATATCAATTTGACAAAAATTGTATGAATAAAGCTAACATTGGCCAATGTCGATGTACAATCCATTAAATATAGCCCTATAAGTGATAATATATAATTTGACAGTCTGTTTTCTGTTCAGTTTAGCGACACGTGCTATTATAAGATCATAGTAAGGCTTAACAGTACATTATATTGCCTAAGAAATTAAGAACTATTACTTACCTCTTTATTCGGGCTTCCTGGATGAGGCATGATGGGGCTGACCTATTACACACGTAATCATTGCATTGTTTACGCTCAGTTCTTGTAAAACTAATATGGTGCCTTTTAACCCGATAATTCTAGTTTAGGAAGAGGTTCCTAACTTTACTTAGGCAAGCTGCTACTCAGTTCTAGTACTATAGCCTGCTTTACATGTTGCCGGCAAGGGCTAATAGAACATTCTAATTACGATCGTTAGGGACCACCCGCTAACTGGCGTGCTCTGGGCAGCGCCAACCCCAAATATGGTCGTTTGAAGTTCGTAATCGAATGTTCGTTCACAATGAAATTACCGCAAAAAGACCATATATTCACGATTAGTTAGAGTTACGTTAAATGTTAGTAGCTGATAATAATTGAGACATATTCACTATTCGGATAAGAGGCATTAATTGCCTACCACAGACGTTGTTATAGCATTCGCTAATAGAATGTTTAATATAGACCTGCGGCAACTGTACGTGGGCTATAGTACTAAAGCTAGCTGCTACTGAGGCACGAAGGGTCGTTGTCGTATAGGGTAGTACAAATATGTACCGAGAGTAACTATCTTAGAATTCGCTGTCTGTGTCCCTCGCCCAGTAATCTAGTCTACAGGACACTGCCAGCTTGTTAACACAAAAAACAATTACTATGAGGAAACACTGTTACTGTGGTAATAGCTAACGCATACAAAGCGTGTATACATTGTGAGCCATGTAACCTGCGTGTAGCAGGTAGATTAATCATAAAACACAACAAACATAAATAACATACAACGAAACAACAACAACAACAACAACAACAACAACAACAACAACAACAACAACAACAACAACAACAACAACTATCTGATATGGTTAGGGTTAGGGAGTAGGCGTAGGCGACATACTCGCCGACACCTCGGGTACTACAGTACATATACGACAACGACCCCTTCCGCGCTACTGAGCAAGCCAGAGCTTGAGAGTCAACACAGAGACTCGGACTCAGAGGTGTGAACTAAAAGTAAAACGAAATAGATTTTTTTAACACTTACACCACTAAAGCGCTCTTTTCAACTGTTATTACTCTCCGGCACTGGCTTCTCTTCAGCTCTGCGTCAACACTCAATGAATTGTAAGCGATTTCAGCTTCCTTTTCCGTTGCAAACGGTATTGATAACCGGCTGATTCATGACATATCTGTCAAGGAATTAGCCATAAAATTGATAAATTGTGGATTGCAAACTATATATTATTGTAGCCACCTTAGAGCTGGAAGTATACGTAACTGGTCGCATCAAAATAGCAATGTATGCTAATCTGTCAAAGCATTGGTTAAATAGTCAAGCTATAATAATATTTTTAATGCAAAAGATACATTTGAGGTTTCTGTTCATAATCACTGGGCGCCGCCATTCTTGATTGTTCTGCCATCTGGCGAATCAAATTTAAAACAGAAATTCCTTCTCCTCTCTTCTCAGCTTCTAACTTTAATTCCTGACAAAAGTTATCAAACGGCATTACATTAATGACTTAGAATTATATACTAATATTGTATTTATTAGTATATGACATTTACTTATATTATTCCTAATATGTTGAGCAAAACTTTAGATAGCTCCGCATTCTTTCCATGCTGTGATCCACTCAAGCATAAAGAGACAAGGGGGAAGACTAGAGGTATAGAGCAAAGTGTAGACAGCGGCTGCTCTTGACACCCCGGCATAACCTCAGACGGCAATCAAACTTGAATCGAACGTGATTTAATTTATACCGTGTCACATTCGACATGACTGCAAAGCAACAGTCACTTGTATTTTATGTTAATGGGATACGAGTAAGTATGAATGTAATATTCGTTGAATTTATTGTACCGTACCGGCGTACGTGACGCAAGTACATGTATTGTAAATTCCAGCATACCGTACCTGCAATCAAAAACTATTGATCTGTAGACTGTATACATGTGCACGGTCGATTGTAGGCCATAATGTAATCCAACACGACAGGTTGTGCGCCTCCATAGAAATAATATATCGAAATAATATTCTATATATTCAGTGCTCGAAATAAGAAGAAAAAATTTGGTTGTCCTGTGGACAACCCCGGCATCAAATCGGGTTGTCCGCAACAATTTCTGGTTGTCCCAAAAAAAATCCCCAAATCTCTTATTTTCAATCACATAATAATATAATCAGAAAACACCCAAAAACAGTGGCGTAGCCAGGATTTTTTAACAAGGGGGGCCAAAAACAGCGAACTGCGCAAAATAGTGGATGACTTAATATTTCACTGGCTCCTC